GTTCTTATTTTTGGGATTGAATATGGGGAGGGGGGTCCTGGTAACTTGTAACAGTAACTGATTTATTTTCTCAACATTCTACATGATTTATGAATTTGATAAAATTGAATGATGTGTTTAGAAAAGTGGTGTTAATAAGTTTAATCATTACTTTATACATTAGAGCATCCCAACTTCCCTCAATCTGTCTGTAAATTATGGTAGGCCTACACATTTTCAAAAAGACCTACCGCACTGCACTTACATGTAGCACCCTTTTATTAGGAAATTTACATCTGTTTGAAGGGTTGTGTCTTCCTCAAGGGGATTATGATATAAATTAAAGAGGATTAAGATACAGTGTATATACATATGTATTAATTGAAGAAATTGAGAAAATACCCATTTTATATGAGAAAGTGAAAATAGTTAGTAGTTACTACACACCATAGAGTGTTTGTTGAAAAAATATATATATGCATGATCAGTGTAAAAATATCAACTTTTTATTGGTTTTTAGCTAATATTGTTCACGTGAGCACAAAAAATACATAGATGTGTTTTATTAAATTGTACAAAGTTTTTAATACCATTGTATTTTTTCACATTTTAATTTTTTCCAGTCCGTGAAAAGAAAACCAAGGCGCCAAAAGACAATTTTAAAATGACATCCAGCGAGGGTACATGTAAGTATAGACTATTTATAGTTGCATAAAAAATATACTAACTAGGATAAGCTAGTAATTTTTACCCCCTAAGCCATGTCAGCTTTAAACTTATTTGGTGTTGTTACAAAATGAATTCATATTAGACAAGTTTGGTTTTTATTTGTCCAGTCAACATCCACTAGCTTGGTAGTAAGCTGTATCCTAGCTGCAGAACTATAGCTCTCTCCAGTCTGTCATGATCAATCTATTTTTTTTTTCGGAGAGCTACAGTTCTGCTGCTAGCTGTATCCTAGATTTGAATTGTGATTACTTTGTAATGTGTTGAGTGTTCGCAGAAATTCGTCATATTCGCGGAAGATGTAATTCGAATTTCATTTTATAACTTACAGTTTTGACAGATCAGCAGTTGACCATGCTCTATGACAAAAGCGTGGAGGTGATTGGAAAGAGGGATCGGCGGTTCGCTCCCCTGCCCGCTATGTGGCGCGACAAGGCTACTGCTTATTGGGATAGAATCCGTCTGAAGTATAACGGGTTCATGATCCCCTACAGAAAGGATTTCAACGGAACTCCAGGATCCGCCATTAACGGGAACCTGATGGGACTCTTCTTCAATGCTAGTCTTCACAAGAAAACTAAAAAGCCTCCGACATTTTCTTACTTCGGAAATCAGAGACTAATGGTCAACTCTTCCTTCATCGTTAACGTCCATCAGAACATTTACTTTGTCGACTTTTACTGTCACAACCTACGGGATCATTACGTCACGCTTGTCGTGGCGCGTCCAGGGTCAGTCGTTGATAAATTCTGCCAGAGGAACCTGAAGCAAATCAATGTCTTTCATAACCCGTTCTTGAAGATTGTCAACGGAAAATTGTACGTGACTTTGGGTGCGAACATTGAAGTATTTTACACAGACATTGTGGACGTTAACCGACTAGTTCATGAGAGGATCGGCAGGTTTTCCCCTGTCACTTTCCGAGGGGTGGGCAGCAAAGAATTTGGAATAGCTAAAAATCTAGGATGTAAAATCTGTAACCTTTGGTAAAATGGCAGTTTGAAAAGTTTCAAAAACTTGCATTAGAATTGGAATGATTTTACCAGATATGTTTTATGTCTACAGAGGATTTAGTGCTCATGATTTTAGTAAATCTTTTTAATCTGTAATCTAAAACATGCTGTAGATTTAAATTTTCGAATGAGGTGCATATTGCTGAATCATGAGGACTCACAAAAAGTTCTTTCTAAAGTTAGTGCTTATGATAGATATTTTATTTTTTTATCTTTGTTTTATCTTCCTACTCTTTCCATTCTCTTCTTTCTGACATTTCATTGCTTTCCTAAATGTTATTTGATGTCTTCTGTTTGTACCAAATGTTGAATAAATAGAAAATATTGATTTTGTAAAACTTTTTTTTTCATGTTATACCAGCAATATTGAAAAGTTGATCAACTTCAACGCAATTATTGCTCTATTTAATTAAATTGACATCAAGAAAAGAATAAGTTTAAAATAAATGGACTATCTGGATAAATTTGACTTACCAGCTTTGTTTTTATCTTAACTGATGATATTTGAATGTTTGAACGACCAAACAGAGGGATTGTTTTTATTCTGCATACTCATAATGCGCGTCTTTTCCCACAAAGATGCAAATGAAGCAAAATTAAAGTAAAATAAATAATATCCTTTTCAATTTCTCAGCTGGAGTTGTCGCTCTTAGAATTTGATGCAATTAAAGTGGCAAGTTTTTAAAATTAAACACATATTTTTTCTCTTTGTGTCCGCAGGTTCGATTGCAAGTTTTCCTACACCAATGAGTAAAATGTACTTGTACTAATAAGGAAATCAATTCAAAAACTACAACATTTTGATAGTAAACAAATTTTATAAAGGTTTTTTTGGCATCTTCGACAGCTGCTTGTTTCAATAAAAATGAAACTTGTAAATTAACTTACCATATACAGGTAATTGGTAATTTGCAAAATAATTTTGTTAAAAACATTTTGATAAATTTATTGTACACACAAGTACGCTAGATCTGAAGTTGATGTAAAAGTGTTTTTAAGAGATTCTGATTGACAATTTCTATACAAGTATGTTGTCTTTTGAGAATCAGGTCTTTCAGCAATGGGTATTAGTTGCGCCCCGTCATCAGTTATAAGCAGACCTTGATCATGATCTTATTAATATATAATTAGAATAAGAATTTATTCAAAAACTTGTAGATGAAAAGAAAGCACTTGCCATGGCCTTCTATCTGGACCTTTTGGTGTATGGACGACGCACTATCAATTAACAACCGTTATTAAATTGTAGAACTTTCAATTCATATGTTGACTCGATATATCTCAGCGAACTTGGGAAAAAAATACCACAAAGTCCTACACTTTTTTTAAAAGATATTTTACCAAAATGGGACGTTAATGTTAATCGAACAACAAAACTTTATTATATAAAATTGGATGAACATCTTTTCTATCTGCCACTTCGAAAATCCTTTATACTTACGCAGCAATAATCATAAGTTTATTGCCTGCACAGAGGGTTCGTGTCTTCTAATTGATTCGATATTTAAGTAACGACATGCCCTACGTAGGATCAATTTCTATAACGAAGCAAACTATTGATAAACAAGTTGATAAAACAAGAAAATCTACAGTGTAAGATCATCATTTTGCAAGATCTATTGTCGATGGTCGCCTTTGGTGTTTATGCAATTTTTTACGCGAGCAAATGATTGATCACACCATAAAACCAAGAAACTAGACAGTTATTCCTTAAGTATGTAAACAATTAAACACATATAGATGTTATTAGCTTGTAATAAACTGAAAAAAAAATAACAAATTCTAGAAAATGTGTGTATCAAATTATTTTAATCATTCGATTTATATTAATTTACAACAGTAAAAAAAATCATAAAAAGAAAACAATGAAGGATGACGTGTTATGTGAAGTAACTCCTAATGCCAAAAATATTTACAAAATATATAATCAAACAAAAGACTAGAATAACAATCCAGATTCCCATCGACATGGAGACCAGCATCCTCGTCCGAGAAGTCAGTTTCTCTATCATAGGGCCATTCCCAAGCTTTCTTGCCTTTTGCAACTTAAAAAAATAATTTCATTATGACACCTTATTTGCAGACATGTATGTAAAAGAAATAAAAAAGGCTATACAAGTTTCATCCTAAAATTGTATTGTTTTTTCTGCTGAATGTCGAAAAAAAATTGTTTCATTTATTTGAAATATACATGTAATCATTGCTTTGCTGAGGCGGAGAATCCTCTCGAAAAAGGACATACCAAAAAATCAAACCTTTATTTGACATTGATTTTATTGCATATTATGTAACGACCATTATGCAACCAAAAACTCACTACATGTACCTCACGTTCCGTAACCCAAGGGTTCTTGGATTTGTTTCAATACTAGTATAATATTTTTCCATGAGATATCACAACTTAAGTATTACAACTGAAAAAACCAAAATTTACGCTAAAGCTAGCCTATCATAAAAATTCATACCCCACCTCTCACATAAAGCAGAGAGTTCAAGCATTGTAAAATCCTAAGGGATTTTTTGTCGCTATTGTAGGTATTTAAGTGTATTTCGTAAAGTTTAAGCTTTCTCTGCCTTTTAGAATGGTATCCTATATTAATTCATATATTTAACTCTTATATTTGATACTTTGTCTTTCATGACTGTATATCACAAAGTATTAACCACAAACACTATTTGTTAGCGTTGAGAGGTGAAAAATCCAGGAAAAGTTGATTGTATGCTTACTTATGAATACCATTTGAAATTATTTTCAAAGCTGGGGAAAGTATGAAATACACAAAAAAAGACCCATAGTAAGCGACAAAAAATCGTCGGCGTAAATCGAAGGTTTTACAACTCGCTGATAGTTCTGTTCCAATTTTATATAAATTGCATAATGTACTAATCAGCAGAGGATTACCTTTGCCGCTGTGATCACTGCAAAAATCCCCGTAGGACAGAAGCATATAACAGACAAAACAGAAAGAACCAACAAACATCGACTGTTTCGGGAAGAAAAATCAATAGGAATTTCCTGAAAAATATATGTTCTCAATGTTTATATATGTTTTCTGATAAGGCTCTATTTATATATATTGTTTTAAAAAATGCACATTTTATATAACGTGCTAAGTTTTGTCTTTTTACCTTCAAAACTCTTCTGTTTGATGATTTAAAGCGGGCTTTGTTATTATTGGACTGTATATTTTCTTCTTCGTTTCGATGACAGCATCCTGGGCATGGATCACCTTTGACAATGGCGTCATTTCGAGAACATGTGCAAATTTCACTGTCATTCTCCTCTGCTTTGGCGTTTCGAAGAAACTGTTCTTCCATCCTATTTTTTTACGATTGTATCATTATCTTTAAAATAAAATATCGCGCTGAAGGCATATAAGAATGACATATTTTACAAATGTAACATTTTTACAATATGTAGAAATATGATACCACAAAGAAGTGAAGATGCAAATTTATGTATAAATCCAATTTTAATGTATGAATGCATATATTAATAAAAAAACACTGTGAAGATGAAAATTTATGCAAAATTAACTTGTGCTTTTATAAGTGCATTCTCTCTCTCTCTCTCTCTCTCTCTCTCTCTCTCTCTCTCTCTCTCTCTCTCTCTCTGAACGAGTGGAAAAACGGAAATAATCTTTACGGTATTTGATCATGTTAAACTCGATCCATGGAAAAATCGATTTGGATTTAGAATTCTGCGATATCTGTAATTGTATTTACACAGAAACATTTGATCAGTATAAAAATAAAACCTTTTATTTTGCGACATTAACACAGGAATGTATAATTGACATTTCCAGTCGTAATACTTCGTAAATGGTTTATAAATATTTTGGTGTGGACGGAGATTTGATGTATTTATAGATTCTTAATACTCTAATACTCTAACCTATAATTATCTTTCTTAAAGTACACCAGTCAAGTCATAACGTCGAAAAATCAGGAATTCGAAATATAAGGCAAAAGCGGTTTCTTAAAAAAATAATTTACATGCCTTTGTTAGCCAAATTTCAAAATATTGCACAGTTCATACAAATTTTTTTAAGTTTTGGGTTTGATTTTTAAAACTTGAATATTTTGCATGTATAACTTCGTGTCGATAAGGGAAAAAAACAATTAAATACAACAGTATTAAGCACCATTGTCTCTGATCGGCGAAAGAATTATAAGAAGACAAAACTAATATCTAGGAAAATGGATTATGAACCTATAAGAAAATTAGATTTTGAATATTGTTCGTTTCATTTTCTCCCTATATATCATTAAACTTTAAAGAAACATTCAAAATCAAGCAATCTTGGTGTTATATGCTGATGCAGTATTTATCATTCCCGCCCCCTCCCCCTCCGGGATTCGAATACGTATAAATCGAATTAACAAAGTGTACATATCATCTTGATAAGTAAGGTATAATCGTAGTACATATTTATGTATTTAATATGAAAAATCAAGGAAAATTGTCATTGGGTAATTATACAGACCAAAATATCATATCAAACTTATTGATTTCATTTTTTGACAAATTTAAAAACCATTGTACATTTTAAGATTTTTGAAATCTGCAATGTAAATACAGTAATGAAAACCTTACCCTGATATTTACAATTCCTCGTCATGAGCTAGTGTCCCCCAGATCGTTGTTTTCCAGACTCTATAATAAATCAATAGAATCTTTCCTGACAGCAAACCATTGGATAGACCTAGATCAAACAGCCTCTGCTTCGCGTGGGAACTTCCGACTAACGTTAAATAAAAATAAAATTTTTAATGTCAAGTTACGTCACCAAGGAAATAAAAAATCTTCAACAACATCCGTTTTGGGTAGCTTTTGAGAATTAAAGTATCATGTACAATAATTGAACCTAATTGACGTCAAGTCTTTACAAATTTGAGGAGTTGGAGCTTCTGTTTAGTTTACCATCCACCGATTTAGGCCAAAATTATTTTATCTTTAGGTTTACGGATTTTTTCAACCAAAATGTCCATTGGGTGGCGACAAAATAAAAATAAAAATAATTTGAAACTTCTTTCAAACGGAACATAGCTGATCTTCTTTTGAATTGGTAAAAATTAGAAACATAAATTTGGAAAAATTATAGTAAAATGAGAATCAAATAAAAGGAACTACAAATGATTTTACTGAAGGTTTACTTCAGATCTTATTTGAAATCATTTACAAAAAAATATTAAAAATGTTGATGATAGAATATTGGGAACATGCCACATTCATTTTTTTTAACAAAAAACCAACTAATTTGCTTTGATTTAGATTCATAATCTTGTAAACTATATTATATTAATTATCAAGACAAAGTCACAGATTATCTTTACTTCTTTTAGTGAAACCCTACACTGTTGCCTATTTCCTTTTATTAGCATGACCTTATAGCTACCAATGGCAGTCAAAGTAAAATTTCAATAACAAGGCATGTATCTGGGACCTATATAATAACCATGAAAACGATCTATTTATCTGATTATATTGAATTGTTTCATACACTTGTCACACAAAATTTAGCATGTGTCTGGGTTTGGGAAATAAAACGTACATAGTGTTTGTATGCAATTTCTACAATTTTTGTCCAGTTTCAACGTATTAATTCCTTACTTTTGAACTAGAAGAAAAATATTACCGTTCGGAAAAAAATAGCGAAGTTATGTCATTGAAACAGCTGATATTTGCTGGTTATTTTTATTTCCATAAAAATCATAGATTACGTTTTTAACAGGACTCTTTGGGGAAAAGAAATATTGCATCTCCCATTGTTTGTTCTTCCTTCATTCTCTGTGAAAATTAAGTTTCTGAACAGAAACATCGTGCTATCTCCAAGACATTTTAACTGCACTTTAAAATAAAAACAAGCTTGCCGCCATGTTTACACGTTTCTGTTTATAGTCACTGAAACGTTTGAAAGAAAACGTTTTATTACAGACTCAGACGCATTTTAAATATTAAAACCCTGATGATCAGGCATGAATTTTCCAGAAAGTGGTGATAAAATCCATTATTTTTATTGTGTGTGTGTGTGTGTGTGGCCTTAGTGTAATGTCGTGATTTATATCTCTTTATTTATAAATTCATATCAAAAGTGCAATAAAAGGTCAGCTTTTGTTTAGAATTCGGTTTAAAGTTTAAATTTCAATGGACATCGTAAAGTTAATGACTGGTATCTGAATAAGGATTTTAATTTACTGACAGACAGGTTTTGTTTTAAATAGATAGAGTTTAAAACACAGAATTGTGATGGATTTTATTTTAGACATGTTCTAATGAAACAAAAAATACACACTGGTGCGGAATTTTTTTTCAAGGGAAGGGTCCATTCCAGTCGAAAAAAATCCAATCTAGAAATTCCTTGACAAGTAAGATAACGAAAAAAAAGCACACAAAAAACTTTCTCAGATTTAAAAAAACTATTTCGCGTGTGAGGGTGTGTGTGTGGGGGGGGTCCCTAACCGTCATATCTATGAAATTGGATAACTGCAATTTCCAGTAGGAGGGGGTAAACCTCATCCCCACCTTTTCAAGATCCGTGCATAACACATGTATGGAAAAGAAGCTTCTGTGACCTAAAATATTCAAATAAATGGAGATGAAAGCTTCTAGATATATATCAGCAATTTTTTTTTAAAATGAACAAGAGGCCCAGGTGCCACATCGCTCACATGAGCACCGTGGCTAGGAAAAAAGGAAAAAAAAAGCAAAAATCAATTGATATTGAAAAGGTTAAATGCATATTAAGTGGTCCCGATCTAACCCTAGCAGGGGGTTTTGATTTGAACAAAATTGAATCTACACTAAGGATGCTTATATTTATTTTGACTACCTGCGTTTTTACCCCTACAAGTTTGAACTTTCATTATGACCCCATTCTACCCCTGGGGGTCATGATTTGAAGACATTTGCATTTTCACTATCTGAGGATTCTTCCGAATAAATATGACAACCCTTATCTAATGTATGACCAAATAGCTTTGCTGCACTTGAAAAAAAGATTTTTAAAGATTTTCCTATAATATATTCCTATGAAAAATTTTGATCGCCCATTGTGGCCCCATCCTTACCCCGGGGGTCATGATTTGAACAATCTTGAACCTACACTATACCTGAGTCCTGAGGATGCTTCCTTATAAATATCACTAATCATGGGTTTGCTGTTATTGAGAAGATTTTTAAAATTATTTTTCTTATATATTTCTTTGTAAAACTTTGAATGCCTATTATGACCCACCCTACCCCTAGGGGTCATGATATGAACAAATTTGAATTTACACTACCTAAGGATGCTTCCAAATTATTATCACTAATTATGGCTTTGCTGTTCTTGAGAAGAAATTTTAATGATTTTTCCTATATATTCTTATGTAAAACTTTGATCGTCCATTGTGGTCCAACCGGGGGTCATGTTTTGAACGACTTCAATCTACGCCACCTGAGGAAGATTTCAAATGAGTTAAGGGTGAGAAGATTTTTAAAAGATGTCATTAATTTTCACTAATTCATAGTTTAAATCTCCCCTTGGAAGAAGGTATGGCCCTTCATTTGAACAACCCTGAATCCCCTTCACCGAAGGATACTTTGTGGCAAGTTTGGTTGAAATCGGCCCAGAGGTTCTTTTAAGAAGATGACGAAATTGTGAAAAGTTTACAACAACGATGACGACAGAGAACGGACGAATTTTGATCAGAAAAAGCTTTCGGCTCAGCTGAGCTAATAAAAGGATATGCACTCACAATATACAAAGTTTTGGGAATAACCCCAAAATCCATTCATCACTCATTTTATTCAGAAAGTTTTAAATGTTCCTATCACAGGAAAGGAAATTCAATGCAAAATTAATTATCTCTGCACTGATCCCAGGGAGCCAGCAAGTTAACCACCGAACCACCCAAAATCTGATTTTCAAACTGTGAGGTGGGGGGACGTTTAAAAAAAGTTTGCTTACCACTCCACCCCCCAAAAAAAAGTTTGCTTACCACTCCCACAAGAAGGAAAAAAAAGTATATATTATAGATCGTGTTCGTCATTTCTAGGTTTTGTTTCATTCATAGGGAAAACGTAAGATTTGACATAATTATTGGGATCGTCATTTTTCTAAGCACACATATATTAACAATGTACATCAGTACATGTATCATTCAAGTGTTAAATTCTATTCCCGTTTAAAAGAAGGACTGCGTACTCTTATGAAAGATAAAGAAACAAGATATTAGATTAATTGTCTGTTAATTAAATTGCCCAGACGATATTCATATTTCGTAGCCAGTTTGAGATATTTAATTTCTTTCATTGATAAATCGAACAGTAATCTCAAGATTCAATACACATTTTAAAATAGCCACAAATAAAAGACGTCTGTCGTCGATCGCATTCAAGCTTTATAAAAGATATCGATTCAAAAGGTGTTTTAACGTTTGATATAATGCAGTGTGTATTGCAGATTGTTCAATATAATGTCTTTTATTGGGGACCATTATCGGGGTCAGAGATTAAGGGGATCTCAAAAGTTTATTTGATAACAAGTACATCTCAATATTCTTGTACAGAAAGTCAAAATATCAAAAGACTTTCCATATAAATTTTTATCTCTTTAATTTTTTTTTTATCAAATTAAACAAATTATAATATTCAAACTTGAATTCGGAGCAATAGCGATAGATCCGGATTACCCCTAGCAACATTGAATGGAGGTGTGTTGGGTCGGTTTGGCTCAGTAAACGTTCTGTTTACACCTGAGATTAAAACGATTAGTCTTTTTAATACAGTGTAACTCGAGACTGTAACAGGTAGGTTATGATAAGTTTATTATTATTATTATTTACTGAATTTTTACTCCTCTGTAAACAACAGTGCTCTAATCTATTGCATAATAGGTAAACCATTTAAGTCAAGTTAATAGTGTTGATATTTGTTGGAGAATTTCAAATTTTAAGCTGATTATTTGCAAGTTAATGGAGACATTGGAGTTTCCGCTGATAGCAAGTTTTGATTATCAAAAATGTACAAGGAATGATTCGTTCTAATTTTATTGAACGTGTATTGTGATAACATTTGAATTTTTATTTCAAATTGATCGTATACCATTATACCGGGTAAGTTGAAAAGTACAAGTACACCGAAGGCTAGTCATAACAACATATGAATAAGGATTAGCAATCTATTAAAAGTCTCATTATTTTTTTCTCCGCCAATTAAGCTGCATGGTAGAGAAATGGCTTTTTCTCGGTCACTCCATCCTTTGTACACTAAACTTCGAATTCATTGTCGATTTTTTTCTCCTCAAAAAACTTCTTTGTTTAGATGTGGTTATTTTTTAAACCAACAAAATCAAATGATCATAGAACTCCCTAACATGCCTCGCCCCCTTCTGCTTCAGGTGTTCATCTCAGATAAGTGCTTCTAAGACCACACAAAACGATGTCCCACAGTTAACTGAACTAGAATTGCATTTTTCATATATTTGTGGTCAGCAATGTCGTGACACATGCATGGCTTCTTTAAACTTATTGCTAAGCTACTGAAGCGACGGATGAAAGAATTCGATTTATTGATCACCGATAATTTCGGCTTCTACTTTTAAATCGCATGGGTTGCAAACCTAGATGGTTATTGCAGTCATTGTCATAAGATTGGTATTTATTTTTAAATTCTATGAAAGGTGGTCAGGTCATAATTCACAATGTCAGAGGATATAAATGTAAATTCATGCTTTTTATCAAATACCCCAGAATATGTCATCTTTTTTAAAAAATAGAAAATGTCTTGAATTCTGTAACTGTTGACATCCATCCATGGCTAACATCCATCCATTCCAGTGAATTGAAAACATTCAAGGTAAAATTAATTAAACTTTACATTGCACCAATTCCATTTGTATCTAGGGAGACAGACACCATAAGATTTTTTATTGCAAGATATCAGACAACTATTTTACCTATTGCAGCAATATGGCTGACCGACCCCAGTCTCATCACAGCAGCAGTACGCATGTGTCAGCAGCAGCATCGGAGGTCCCGCCGCCTCATCAGCAATGGTCGGCGTACAGAGGACCAGTTCTGTTTACCGGTACGGCAACTCTGTCCAAGCGAAATGCGGAACTATAGTTTATTATACTAGTAAAAAATATAGCTTTAATATGAATAAAATGTTTATTCATATCAAAAATGAACTTGTATGAAAATTAAATATGCTTCTAAAAGCACGCATTTAATTTTCTCAGGGTGCATGGATTGGGGAGGGAGAGCTAACCTCTTTTGTTAAGAATTTTTAAGTTTTGTTTTCACATCAACTGCACGATTTTTAAACATTCTTTCCGAAATGTAAACATTTACAATTATGTTAAGGGGAAAAATTTGGTAGAAAGAATTTTAATTTTTATGTCATTAATTTACAGCACTTGGCTTAAAAGACAGAATAATAGGAACATGCAAAATGCTTTACAATTGAAAATAAAACGAAATTATAGTCGTGCATCATCAACGGTACCTAATGCAGGTTCTGTCTCTGAACCATGCCCCCACTCCCTGGCATGAAAGTAGTATTGAAATTGTAATGGAAACAAATATTGATTCAAAATATGACACTTGAAAATCGATAGGAACAACTGCATCTATATACTTATGATATTTTAAGAGAAGGTCTAAATAAATGATTTATCTCTTGATTATAGGTCCTAGTGGTTTAACAGACCAGAGAGTGAAAACAAGAGCTGATTTCCAAATGGTCGGGAACGGGGATCGATCACCGGAAGTGACCAGCCAGATGGGATACCTTAGCCGACCTCCCCCAGGAACCAAATTCCCAAAGGCGAAAAACGGTCAAATCGGCGAAATAGGGTGGCCGGTAGAGACATTCAAGATAGTGAAGGGAATCTAAAAAGAATCTGCGTCGATAACCATTGTATATAATATCAGACTATCATATTGTAACCGATGTACATATATACTTACACGTGCTAGCGAAATTGACTTGATGCCATTTCAGTACCCCCCGCTTGAAAAGCTGGAGGGATAATTGACTTGATGCCATTTCACTGAATGAAATTTTGAAACTTTACAGAATCTTTTTATCTGTTTTACTTTTTTCACATTTTTTGGGTTTTCCAGCCACAGGAAAACATGGACTTTTTCACCAGTTATAACCATATAGATTGTTAGCCTATTTAATCAGTATTTGTCTATTTAATCATTGTCACGAAAGAAGTAGAAATTCTTTTGTATAAAATCGTTCAGTTTTCAATCTTGTGGTTTTGATGTCTGAGATTTCTAATTCAGTTCAATGGTTTCCATTGTTTATAGGTGTTGAATTTGATTCTTAGGGTATGGAAACGCAAGCCATACATCACCTGGACAAATTATCAAGGTCATTGTCAGGTATGAGAGATCGGGTTATACCTCTTAAACACGAACAGCCAGGGAGAGTAATTTGTTATTTATCTAGATAATTCTATTGCTTAGTGAAATCCTTACTTGGCAGCGGTTGAAATCCGATTCTATCGAAAATCGCGACACGAAATCTTACGGACCAAATTTGAAATTCTAGAAGGGGATGTTCGCACCGAATTTAGCTTTATCTATAGGGACGTGCCAATTCTGTTGTAGATTACTCATAATTTTTTTGAATAAGTTATGTAACGAGCTTGTACAAGCATGTGATCACCAACGAATACTTCAGAAAGCAAGCTAAGAAGTCTTGCTCTTCTACGTTTTTGTAATATGCATCTCCTGTACGTACATTTACATGTATTAGCATAATTATGCGTGCTATACAGTGAATTTGTTTCTTAATTCAAAAGTTTGCATTGATTCCACTGTTTATTTGTTTAATACCTCTGTCAACTACATGTTCAAACAAACAATCTCTCTGAAGGAAAAAAAAACTCAATAAAGATCTTGTTGAATATTTATCTTCAACAATAATGAATTGAATATGATACTTATGATATGATTTTCAAAGCATGTTGAGTTGTAGGAAAGACTTATTCTAAGGTAAAGCATTGATTAAGCAAAGATTGTTTTCTAAATCTATATTATCTTGGAAAACACACAGCTTACCAGCCAAAGACCCTCAAACCTTATATCAAAATGGCATCATAGAATAAAATTTTTCAGAAAAATAAAACAAAATGCTTTAGCAAAGATTGTTTTCAAAAGAACTATATGCGGTATGTTGCATATATTTGCCCCCCACAAAAGTCAAATTTTGAAAATGAAATGTGATATAAATTGTATGAGAAATATAAATTAACAGAACATATTATTGTTTCAAAGTAGTTTATTCACAATTTTTGTTTTTATGACGTCACAAACTAGTCCGATTTTATATCCTTTTTCAGAAAAAGGACAAAATGGACAAAATTTCAACAATTTTAGCTTTAAATTTTATAGAGCGCAAGTTTGTTCAGGAGCAATATTTACATATTTCACTGATATTATCGTTCTACACATTATATAAAAATAGCCTGAACACACATGTGGATTACTCAAAAGTATATGTACATTTTTCTGTAGAATTCATTAAAAACTGAAATGTACGTCATGTTTGTTAATCAATTAATACATAAACAAACTTATGAAAATATTCAGTGCGTTAGAAAACATCTATATAAAAATAACTAAATTTTCTCCATCAAAGTTTTTTGCTAGATATATTACCGAATAAAGTTCTTTGTGTTATCTTGGAAAAGACATTGGTTAACGTTCAAAGACTCTTAAACCGTATTATCTCTACGTTATTTAGAGTCACGATATACTAATGGCATCATAGAATCAAATTTTTTCGAGAGATAGATAGAGTCAATACCATACAATTTTGGACTCCTTCGGCAATGCATATGATTTGTTATACTTTGGCAGTTTTTGTCTGCCACCTTTTTTGCTGATTGTTATTTTTTACATTCTGGATTGTTTATTTGGATTTTCTTCATGTAATATGTTAATGGGGAGATCAACTAATTATTTTTACAAATTTACACATTTTTTCAAGAGTGATCTCCCCTTTATCTGATGTATCTTTTGATTATCTTTCGTCATTTATTGTATAATAAATGACAAATTCATCCATCAAACTTTGTGTTTGCGTTACTTTAATATGGATGTGATATGGTCTACATAAATTTAGAAGTGAGTGCAAAAAACTAGCTTCAGTGAACTTGTAAAATTAGTTAAATTACACTGGAGAACATAAAACTGCATTATTGTAAATAATAGCATTTATGTACTCATGTAATGATTTTATGTACTCATGTAATGAATTTTTGAGTTTGTACTTTTAACTTGTTAATCAATCCGTTTTTATCCGTGTTTCAATTTTGTGTCAATATTAGAGCGATCGATAGGGGGTAATTTTACCGACCAATCAGAAGAGACACTAAATGTAGATTCTACGTCACTTCTTGTTTTGATTCGATCGCAGTAAAAAGGGTTTTCCAAGTGTTGCCCACCATCCACCCCGATCATTATTCCACCTTTATTCCAAACTGCTAAATTTATATGCAATGTAAAGAGTTAATGGATAAAAATGTTTAAAAATACATATATGTTTATATATTTTAATATGTTTTATTTTGGCAGTTGTTATCCGCCAAGGCAGTTTTTGTCTGCCACCTTTTTTGCTGATTGTTATTTTTTACATTCTGGATTGTTTATTTGGATTTTCTTCATGTAATATGTTACACTGGGGAGATCAACTAATGTTTTGTACAAATTTACACATTTTTTCAAGAGTGATCTCCCCTTTATCTGATGTATCTTTTGATTATCTTTCGTCATTTATACATGTATAATAAATGACAAATTCATCCATCAAACTTTGTGTTTGCGTTACTTTAATATGGATGTGATATGGTCTACATAAATTTAGAAGTGAGTGCAAAAAACTAGCTTCAGTGAACTTGTAAAATTAGTTAAATTACACTGGAGAACATAAATATGATTTGTTATACGCCAGAAAAGATATCAATATTGATATAATATTGCTTCGGAAAATACGAATCATTCAAGAACAACACAATGTACATGTACGTGGTACATGTATAGGATGTGGATTAACTATATATGCACTCTGTGACTTCCAAACATACATTATCTATAATCAGTTATTACTTAAACAAACTTGGGAAAATTAAGGAAACATGTCTTAAAATGATTTGGTAATTTTAAACCAAGCATTCATTAAGGCTATTGACGATACACTATCACATGTGCGACTACGCTCGTTTATTTTATTTTTTTTCCCCTATATAAACTAAAAACAAGAAAACATTGATGTAACCATCAATTGTCGCCCGGGAAATATATTAGGTAAACAATGGAAATGAGTCTTGATCATCAAACCTCTTCGATATGTGTGAAAAGGCATGCATCTGACTGATGGAGATGATAGTCGCGAATATTTTGAAAACTTAAAGTCGGATAAAAATCAATCAAAAACGATACCATTTTAAACTTGATCAATTCCTCAAGTAAATGTTGGCTGCAAAAAGTATGAATTGAAGTTAACATGCACCACCTATATTCAAAAATATATTTTCAATTTTAGAATATAGGAACTGTGCAGGGTACGTTTTTGTGCGAGAAGTAAAATTCGATGTTCTAAAAAAAGGGACCTGTCATTTTTTCGATAGTAAATGATAAGCCACTTTACATATTAAATATGAAAAACATATATATTTTTGATTTACTTTCTGGAAAAATATATATGTAATTTATAAAGAAAGAACTTCTGATTAACAATCTTTTCAATGTTTAGAAAACGTTTAATTCTGAATAACTACTCCCCCCCCCCCCCCCCACACACACACACACGAAAAGGATTTTATGTATAACTTTTAATTTCCCGTTTTTTTTTTTTGCTTGTCAACTTTTTCAGGTAAGTAAAAAAAATTTTCTCTGGTTGGCCCCCCCCCACTTTCAAAAACGATGCTACGTGCCTGTATTTGTAGGATTATATGAGTGCATGAGTTTTATACTTATTCTCACTGAAAACTGTTGGACAACTTTATTCAAAATCGTTCAGCCCCCCCCCCCCCCCACCAACACAAAGATATACATATATTTTCCAAACAGAAATGAAATATTTGTCCCTTAAATATTAATTTATATTTTCAAACTGTACCCAAATTGAAATTATTTGTCTTCTGGGTCAATCTTATAATGTGTTTATCCTTTTTGAAAATGAATTTCGATCTTCAACTTAAATTCATTTGGCAGAAATATTAAAGACAAAGGTTTTTAAAGTTATAAAATTGTTAAGCTGTATATTTCCAATTTTGCCAGTTAATGTTCCGCGGTCTTATAATCGTTAAGAAAATCTTTTTCTCTTCGTCTCACTGCCAAGTAATACAAGTTTAAATTGAATGAATAAGATGAGAATCTGGGCTTGTTAACCTCCAAATATATCTCTCACCAAAATTTCATCTATCTAAAAAACTCTCCTCATAGCTTTACATCTTCTTTGATTAAGGTCCCACACCAATTTCATAGTTTAGCATGCATTTCAGAAAACAACACATTAGATATTTCATACTTTATTTGTGCGTGGATACAAAATAAATAGGTGTGTAATATGTTACATGTAATTTGAAAGAAGTAACACACGATACACATTCTATCATGGAGTATTATGTGGTATGAGGTTTCAGCTTAACATTACATAACATCAATATAAGATAATTGTTTTACGCCATATTTACAAAAAAATATTTACAAAATCGTCAGTCTGTGAAGACCTAACAAATAATTATTTACACAAGTCTCTCCTCATATTTCATATTCTCCAGTTGCCGAATGGCTCGCCTGTGCTTGTTGAGCATCGCGCGTCGCTGTCTTCTTATTTGCCAGGATTTCAGCTGAACGCTATTGTTTCTGCAAAGAGTTAAAGTAGACACTGATTTGGTTAACTGTTGTTTCACAAAGCTCTCCTCTTCAGCATCGTCATCAAAATGAACGGACCGACATTTTTCATCCCGATTTCTTCTTGT